ACATACCATTTTTTGACGGAAAATTGCATATAGAAGATTACCTCGATTGGGAAAGGGCGGTAGAAACCTTCTTCGAATACATGGAAGTTGAACCGGAAAAACAGGTCAAATATGTTGCCTGTCGACTTAAATCTGGAGCTAGCGCGTGGTGGCTACAACTTATGCAGTCGAGAAGGCGTGAAGGCAAGGGACCTGTGCGCAGTTGGTGGAGGATGAAACAACTATTGCGTGGCCATTTCTTGCCTACCGATTACGAGCAGATGTTGTATCTACAATATCAGCATTGCGTTCAAGGTAGTCGAACTGTGAGTGACTACACGGAAGAGTTTTACCGGTTGGGTGCAAGAAATAATCTCAATGAGTCCACAAATCAATTGGTCGCAAGGTATGTTGGTGGATTGCGGGAAGCAATTCAAGATAAGCTTGAATTGAACACGGTGTGGTCCGTTTCGCAAGCAGTTAATTACGCCCTGAAGGTTGAAACTCAGTTGGCTCGGCACAGCAGAAACAGTCAATCCAGGAGGGCACCGGAACTGAACAGGGAGAGTGGAGATCAACCACGATCAAACAGCTTCAGTGCGACTCAGGCAAGCAAAATTCAAAATCCCACCGCCAATAATCCAAGTCCTGCTGTTATGGGTAGTAAAAGTGCAGAAGGAAAATATGTGCCGAGAGGGCGAGGACAATTGAAAGACAATCCTTACGCAAAGCCGATGAACATCAAATGCTTTAGATGCTTCCAGCAAGGACACAAATCGAATGAGTGTCCAACCAGGCCGCAATTGCAACTAGTGGAAGCTGAATGTGAAGATCCTCGAGATGACGTTGAGGATGAACTGGATGATTCATTTGAAGAAGTAGGTGGCGACGTAGGGGAACCGCTCATATGTGTGCTTCAGAAGTTACTCTTGTCACCACGGCTACCTACTGGCTCTCAGAGAAACGCATTGTTTAGGACGAAATGCACAGTCAATGGTAAGGTGTGCACTCTGTTGGTAGACAGTGGGTGCACCGAAAATGTTGTGTCGAGGGCCGCAGTGGAAGCTCTTCAGCTTAAAACGTCCAGGAATTCGAATCCCTACAAAGTTAGTTGGGTAAAGAAGGGGGTGGAAATGGAGATTACTGAATTATGCCGTGTACCGTTATCCATCGGAAAGAGCTACGCAAGCGAAGTGGTATGTGATGTAATAGATATGGATGTATGTCACATAATTCTTGGGCGACCGTGGCAGTTTGACGTGAGCGCGACACATGACTGCCGAGCTAATACATACACGTTTGATTGGAAAGGCAAATCAATTCGGCTACTGCCAAACGTTCAAGGTACGGACTGTGTAACTGAGAAAAATAAATCCAATTCACTTGTAGTTTCAGGTAACCAACTATTACGAGCCTGGAGGGACTCAACGCAAATCTTGGCCCTGGTTGTGAAGGAACAAGCCTATATCAATGACCCTCACGCTATTCCTGAATCAGTCAAGGCTTTACTAAAACAGTTTCAGGACATTGGACCTGAACATCTTCCGGCGGAGCTTCCTCCAATGAGGAATATTCAGCATCAAATCGATCTGACTCCCGGTGCCTCACTACCGAACTTACCACACTACAAGCTGAGTCCCGCCGAGCATCGGATATTGCAGCAAATAGTTGACGAACTACTAGAGAAACAACTTATACAACACAGTCTCAGTCCATGTGCAGTTCCGGCATTATTAGTACCAAAGAAAGATGGGAGTTGGAGGATGTGCGTCGATAGCAGGGCTGTTAATA